AATGATGACAGAATTTTCATTTTTGGGTGAACTGTCCCTTTAAGAAACATTTATTATTATTATCAATGTTGAAAACGGTGGTGCTGTTAACATTTTTTTTTTGTTGTGAAAACCGTGATTATTTGCTAAATAGAAAGTTCAAAATAATTGATTTGAAGTAGAAATCTTTTGTAACATTACACACGTCTTTATTGTCACTTTTAATCAATTGAATTCCACCTTGCTTTATTCATTTAATATTATATTCCTACAAGAACGTTTGAATGGTAATGTAGGCTACATGCAGACACATTGTAACAAACGAAATAAGAAAAGCGCTCTCATTAGGGGATTTTTTTAAGTACTGAGATACATTCATACGATGATTTCAGGCAAATGAAAACTTTTTCACTCTTGTGGAAATTACAACTGGGCTAACATGACTGTTACAGTAATAAAAGTCATTTTTATGGGTCAGGTCAGGCATAAACCTTCAGGTAATAACAGTACATTTCACTTATAGTAGAAGAGTGATTGCAGTATGAAGAAAAAAATCAATCCTCCAAGATTTAATCATTGTTTATCACAATACACTGTTATCTCATAGCACTCTCCATATGGAGCAGAAGACAGGACCTGTCAAGTGGTGAAATTATACAACAGTTTCAGTCTTATGTTTCTGTATTCATCTGTGCTAGATTATAAAGAGTCCTTTCTTTTCCGTTCATGTCTTATTTTAATGGTCTGTAGGCTGGAGAACAAATCCATGATTTGGACTCTCGTTCTGACGGCACCCATTCACTGCAGAGGATCCACTGGTGAGCAAGTGCTAAATTTCTCCAAAGCTGTTCTGATGAAGAAACTCATCTTGGATGACTGTTCCATTGTTGTATAAAATCAGCTGTTTTTGTTGTGATCACACTGCTGAGTAATTATTAATATCGAGCACGTGCAGAAGCGGATGGATCATGCTGATGCGTATGAGAGCTCAGAGCACTGGCTGGAGTCGAGAAGTCTGGAGAGCTGTGGACTGTCTCTCTCTCTCACCTCCTGTCACTCTGCACCACTGCTCCTGTGTAAGTTTACAGAATAATAGACTCATTGCACCCTGTGCTGTTTGACTTAAACGCTGTCTACACTCGATGTGGCTCAATCTAGAATGCTCCCATTATAACTAACAAAGCTGTCAAAATGTGTAAATGGACTGATTACAGATTTGTTTGGCACAGATTTCGTCTTTAACAACAAACTCCCCTCACAATATATGTTCAGAACGTTGTTTCAAAGCACGTGAATTAGTTTGGGTCTTAGAAACCAGGTGGTGGATTAATAATCACCTGCTGTTCTAAAAAAAAAGGTATAAATGCAAGCTCAAAATTTTGTTTTTATGAAGTTATAAACCATGCTTTTAGATTTAATACACACCACTAATACAGATAGATATATAAAATTGGGTTTAAGGTAGTATTGTGTGGCTTCTTTTACAGTAAGAAAAACACAACCTTATGAAAAATAAGAGTGCTTCATTGTATTGAATGTGCACTTGCAGTGTACTTCAAATCTTAAAAGTATTTTATTTTATTTTTTTAAACTGTCGTTGGGCCTAATATAATATTAATTAAATTAATTTTACTTAAAGAGAGCACGCTTTCACGCATTTCTTTAAAAAAAATCCACTTTGTAATGTTCAAAAAGTTAAATGTTTTATTTAAAAAGTACATTTTAAAACATTGTTTTAATCATCTTTTGTCAAGCTTTAAAGAAATACACTTATTTTAATGTTGACTAACACTAAGTAATTAAAACATATGTAAGGTAATTTGGTTACACTTTATTTTAAGGCGTCCCTGTTACAATGTTATTATACATTTAAGTACTGAGTAATATCAGTTAACTACATACTTACTATATGGTTAGGGTTTGATTTGGGGTTACTTGCATGTAATTATGCATAATTTATTGTTATTATAATAGTAGGTACATATAACATGTGTAACATGGACACCTTCAAATAAAGTGTTACCGATCATTTTAACTGTAGTGTGTTATTTGATATTACATTTCATGTTACTGTATTTTAAATGTACTAAATATTCATTACAAATGTGTAATTACAAAACTATTGAAATATATGACATACAAATTCCAAGTATTTTTTTGCCACAAATTCTTGTCAGTACTCTTTAACCATATTTCAAAGACAGTAGAATAATAATGACATTACATATAAAGATGTAAATGTGTCAAAAAATATTAAAAACACCAAAAAGCACTCTAAAGCGCAACTGTCATGTTTGTATGCATTGTGACTGTAAGCTGTCAAATAGTTAAAATATTTAGTCGCGATTTAAAGAAAGAAAGAAATAAAAAACAAAACTATTGCTGGAACCAATGAGTAATGCTTTTAATTCAGTGCATTAATGTTTGAATGCTAATGTTTTAATGCTCTCATGTTTTCATGTGTAATATTTATAGTGTAGTGGAATCAGTTAGTGAAAACAGTACTAATAATTTGTGGGAGAAATGTTTTTAATTGTCATAAAAAGGTCAACGATGTAAAAATAACTTATGGGTCCTAAAAATAGGTTGTTTTCTTTTGCTTTTGGTGAAATATGACTGACATGTTCTTTGTGAATGTTTTCCAACTAGTACCAGACTGTAAATTGTGTTCTCTCTCTCTCGCTCGCTCTCTCTGTGTGTGTGTGTGTGTGTGTGTGTGTGTGTGTGTGTGTGTCAGATCTGAGAGAGGAGACGGGATGAGCAAACAGATGCACATCAGCAGTGAGTCACTGGCTGACTTTGAGGAACAGCTTTACATGTGAGCATCATCTCCTCTACTGCACAGTCACCTTAATGATGCTTTATCATTCTCGGTGCTGCTGTTTGTTTAGTTTTTAATAAAATAACCTAAAATGAGATGTTTATGCAGTGCTATTGAGATGTACCATGATCAAATTAAGTGGCTCAGTCAAGGAAACAGGAAGGTAAATTGAATCTCTGAAATCTTCACTCCACAAATCTGGTTTAAGCAGATGTTTAAGCAGAACTTTGCCATCCTGTGTTGGTTTGGTTTGATCTGTCAGGTGTTTGGGTTGGTGAACGGGTCCCCTACAGAGAGACCAGCAGATCTCTTAGCAGGATCCCAAATGAGTCATTGCTTCAACTGCATGCTTTGCTTTACTAATTGAATCAATTAAACTGCTCATTTTGTGGTTTATTTTTACTTACACCATCAAAGACTCTCATTGACGAGCAACTGCGTTTCAAAAAACAACTGCATCTTCTGTCCTTTGGCTCAGAAGTCAGCAGCCTTCGGGACAAACCACAAGATACCTGTCCACTAAGGTGGGTGATGTTGACTTTCCGATTTCCACAGCACAGATCACACACTTCTCATTTGCTCTCCACTATCCAATCAAACAAGCCTTTTTTGTAAATGGCTAATTGATTATGTGCAGTGTTATTTTCATAATTCATACGGACAGTGATCATATAAGCCCTTTGGGTTGCAGAAACGGCTCTGCCGGGCCATTATTTTCATTAGGATGCCTATAGCGTCTGTTTAGAGAGACTGCTTGTTTTATTTTCGGTTTGTCATGAGGGATGAGTGGGCACATGTGAGAACAGTTTGTACTTGTACTAGATGCCAAGAAATCACTAGAGAGAAGAGGAGAGGATGAAAGGATACGAGTGAGATAATGAGAGAAGAGGATAAAGGCCATGGTTCTAATGCATTCTTAAAACAATGTTTTTGGCCTACCATCAATCAAAATGAATTATTCATCAAGAAATCTGTATTTGAAACATGGTGATGAAATTAGTCGCTCATAGGCAGCTGTCCTAACTGAAACAAAGCCTCATATGTGACTCATTTGGAAGAGTCTGTATGGGCAGCAGCTCACACAAAGAGGGACTGACTTTACAATTGATTTCAATAGAGTTGACATTAGCATGTTGCTAATCTAAAAGTGAACCTATAATAGGTTATCTATACGTAGATACACTCAGAAAGGTACAAAAGCTGTCACTGGGAAAAGGTACCTTGCACCTAAAGGGTCCATATTGGGGAACATATTAGGGGAACTAAATTGGCTCCTACTTCAGAGTAGGAAAAATCAGTGACTTAAGTGTACGCTGATTGGCCAAACACATACGAAACACCGTATTTCCGAAACATCCGAAAACTCCGATTTTCGTGTAAATTGTGTGTTTACATTCCATCTCTGTTATCACGAATCCCACGGCACACAACAAAAACAGCTCCGATCACAGTGTCCTCCATTCACTGGTTGTTGATGTTTGTAAATGCCGCAAATAAAGATGTCACTATTGGTTGCTTCAGAGTCACTGCTGCCGGTGCGAATGCAACCAGGAAAACGGCATGAGGGGGAAATTGGTTCTCTAGGAACCACCACGCTGGCTAGTTCCTAGAGTTACTAGAACTATGCTGCTCAACACTCACGTTAACAAACCGATGGATTTTTTATGGAAAATTCCACACCACTGTGCAACCTATGGTTGTTAGAATCACAGATATCTATGTACTATCTATATGGGTTCCTTGATGAGCTTTAAAGGGATAGTTCACCCAAAAATGAAAATTTTGTCATTAATTACTCGCCCTCATGTTGTTCCAAATCCGTAAGACATCTGTTCATCTTTGGAACACAAATTAAGATATTTTTGATGGAATCTGAGAGCTCTCTGACCCTCCCATAGACAGCAAGGGTCCTTACACGATCAAGGCCCAGAAACATAGCAAGGACATCGGTAAAATAATCCATGTGACATCAGGGGTTCAACCGTAATTTTACAAAGCTACGAGAATACTTTTTGTGCGCAAAAGAAAAAAAAAGACTTTATTCAACAATTCGTCTCCTCCGCGTCACCCTAGCGCCATTTAGGAGAGTATCCACTGAACGTAAATTGCTTATACTGTTTTGTGTCAGCTGTGCCACGCGGATACGCTGTTTATGTCGTTTATGCTTTGATTTGAACGAAAATGGCGCTAGGGTGCCTTTAGAGAGAAATGCATCTTTACGGGTTACATTATGAAAGAGTTTTTGTTTTCGATTTGAATTATTTCTTTTAAAATAGTAATTTAAAGCATTCTATAGATATGTTTATCATGTCGGTGAAGCGTTCCTGCTCAAGACCAAGACGACAGAAAGCGCATCCTGTTTGTTTTCCTTATTTTACAAAAGCACAAGGTTTTGTTGATATTGTGAGTGCACACAGACCCTTTGTAGTTTCGAATGATGTATACTCTTACCTTTATGAGCTCTAGGTTAAATGTCTGTTTATTTTAGGCAAGTCGTGTTGGTTTGAGAAGGCTAAATTGATCAAACATAAAACATAATGTTTATTTTAGGCAAGTCGTGTTGGTTTGAGAAGGCTAAATTGATCAAACATAATGCTCAACTCACCGTCTGCCGCTGCCGCTTGGTCGTTCCTTTAAAAAACAAAAACTTGAATTTAACAAACATAAAATGTTCCAAACATATTTCTAAATTAACTTAATAAAGAAACAAAAATAAATATGACCACTATGACCACTAAAACCCAAAACAGAACTATTTTAATAGCTGTGTAATGGGGAAGAGAGAGAGAGAAAAAAGAGAAAAAAGCCAGTCGGTATCCAGTCGGACTCGGGCCGAGAATTCTCAACAGCTGTTGGACAAGGGCTGGGCCCATATGCACCTGCATACCCTGCATACACAGACGCTACGCCACTAATTGTACTGCTTCATATTTTTTGTAGAAACTTGTTCTTTATACAATTTTAATAATGATTAATTAATTACTTGATAGCATTATTTCTCACTTCATTTTGTACCTTTGAGTTTGTACCAAAAAATATGAAATTGGGTTCTCCACAAAGGATGCATGCTTCCTTATATGGCCAAGACAAAGAATATTTGACACAATACACAATACCTAGCTTTTGAAACGGTCTTCATATCTGGAGCTCGTTTATGATGATGCCTACGAAAGCAGCTCACTGGATTTTGGAATATAGCTACAGTTATGCCACATGTAATGAGTTTGCTGAAAGTCCGCATCAGGAGGCTCTTTGTGAGTGACACTGTGAGTGATACGCATACTGTCTCAGGCTCAGGGAGTGCTGTGCGTGGGTCACGCAGCTCCGGGTGGCTGGAGGCTGTGATCTCCTGCGGGCGCTACAGAGGGCACTGACCCGCTCAGAACTGGACACACTACTCATCATCCTCGGCTCTCGGTGAGAGTTTGTCTTGCTGTGATGAATCACAGTTTCTTAACTTAACTCGAGCCAGCAGCCTTTTCATGTCCTTCACTTTTGCAGCCGCCTTTAGACATATTTGCAGTCCATTTTCCTTAAATAGTTTGAGTGCTATAATTTGTACTGTCTGAGGAGATGGTTTAAAAATGGCAGCCTAGGCCTATTTCCTCTCCCAGCATAATAGAGTGCAACAGAAATCCTTCTCATTTTCTCCATAGAGAAATAGATTTTAAGTGATAGCATGTAGAGCTTTCAAGACAGATCCACTATGAACTGTGAGGTTGTTAAGTGGTTGCTATATTTGTCTGTAAAAGCCCAACAGCACACTCCCATGAAGCATTGCAAATCATGTAATCTAGTCTCTTTACACTCTCTTTCAACTGTTTTTTGCTTCAAAACAAAATGTTGTAATGCAGTGGCTTAATTTGGGTCTTGACTCAGAACTCTGTATCATAGTAAGTTCATGAATAGGAAAAGCAATTTGAAACCAAGGAAAATGTGTGGTCAACTGTTTGCACTCTGTGTGAGTTACTAATGCAAAATTATAATTGGAACCTTATATAATGATTATTTGATGACTATTTTTTTTATTTTCAGCCCTGATCAGACAGTAGACATTATATGTGATTTTTTTAATTTAAAACCGAACACCTGTTCACTGCAGCAGTCCGGACGCCATTGTGAGATCATAGACTGGTGTTTATGTAATACATAGTGAGATGTTTTTCATTATTGTCACTGATTGATGTGTCCTGTCATAGGAGACTGTGAAGCAAATGGCAGCAGTTTCCGGGGGGAGATATCACCTGTTTTCTGCTGCACTGGTAATCTGTTAAAGAAATCTTGAAATGAAACTGAAGTTGTATACAGTGGTGCCAAAAGGATTTGAACACTTAAGCCTAACCACTTAAAATATATGAATTTGACATTTGAAAGTGACATTTATTTTGTCAAACACTTTTCAAGCAAAGCGTTATTTATAAAACAAAATGGATCATGGATCAAATGTGGACCATGTTCATACTTAAAGAGAAATAAAAAAATTGGTTTCAAAATGATCTTTCATTCATCTTCCAAACACAATTGAAGATATTTTTAATGAAACATGAGAGATTTTAGTGTCCCGTCATTGAAAGTTCAAGCTTCAGAAAGTTTATAAAAATGTTAAAGCATTCTATAGATATATTTATCATGTCGGTGAAGCGCTCCTGCGCAAGACCAAGACGACAGAAAGCGCATCCTGTTTGTTTTCCTTATTTTACAAAAGCACAAGGTTTTGTTGATATTGTGAGTGCACACAGACCCTTTGTAGTTTCGAATGATGTATACTCTTACCTTTATGAGCAAAAATGCTGGCGTATTTTTAAGTTTCCACTGTTATAAAAAAAATAAATGCAAGTGATCGCGCTGGCGCCTCCATGTCATGCAAAGCGCGCTTTAGCATCCACTTGCCACACAAACAATTGGATATGCACCTAACAGCGCTCATTATCTAGGTTAAATGTTTTATGTCTGTTTATTTTAGGCAAGTCGTGTTGGTTTGAGAAGGCTAA